TATCTTCATTTCTTTGAGAGTTCAGAACTTTCATGTTTTAATTGCATTCAGCATCATTATTCTGCTGAATGAAAACATGTATAATGTTTTATTCTTTATTTTTATCACACTTGTAACTGTTCAATTCAAATTATCTTTATTGAAAGAAAGAAAATACATTCATTTTATCTTCAGATACAGACACTGCTCTGTCAGCTGAATTTTCTTCTTATATATTTCTGCATCTGAATGCCAGGTTCAGTGATGCCTTTTTGATGAACTGTTTGATATCAGTGATAAGTTTGACTTCTTCTCATCTGGCTGATATTTATCATTGCTATTATTATATTCATTCTATATTCAGATATATTAATATCAGATTTCTTTTGAAATTGATGATTTGTCTTATTAAACTTATCAGATGAGAGAGTTCAGAGAGATCTAGTAGAGCAGAATTCATGACAATATTCATTTTTGAAATCTTGATAAAACTCTGATAAATTTGTGATATGAATTTCAATAAATTGCAGGAATATAATTTTGAAATAAAGAAAGTAGTTTGATTGTTAATATTAAATTAATGTAGATTATCACTGATTGCAGCTCTTATTAATATATTTCTTTTTGATAATTCAATCTCATCTCTTTATTTTATCAAGATCACTCATTTACTTCATTTATATCTTTTCAACTATACAACTTTTTTCTATAAATTATATCAGAAAGTAAAATGTTGTGTCTGTTTAATTAAAATCTGAAATACTATCTGCTATCTGTCTCTAGACAAGAATCTGAGAATGATCAATCAGAATTTCAATCTCAGAGTTCTCTTTTCTCAGAAACTGTAAATGAAGATTTCACTGAAAGTGATTCTGATAATGATGCTTCTGATAAAGAAGCATTGCTATTTTCAGTAAGTTTATTACTTTTAATGTCTCTATTATTATAAAAACTAACATTCTCTAAAGACAGAGTTATATAATGAGAATGCTGCTGATAATGTTAAGTATATTGAGTAGCTTTTGAAAGCAGCTACTGAGAAGAATATTTCTGAAAATGATGATCAAGAGAATTCTGATAAGTCAGTCACTGATAATATTAAAATGCCAGCTGCTGATACAATTGCTGTTACTATTACTAATCAATTTATTGATTCTGATCCAGTAATTAATATATCTCACAAATACAGTAACTTTGAAATGAATTCATTTATTCTGACAATGAGACTCTGAGCTGAAGAGTCAGATATTTCCTGAAAAAACTACAAATCATTAATACAAATTCTGTGTTTATTGAAGAATACATCACTGATAAGTCTGCTTTTAGAAGATCTCTCAACTCTGAAAAAGTAATACAGAGTATAATTTCTGATTTTATCAGTTAAGAAAACCTCAATTTCAATAGTATTATCAATGTAAATATCAACTCTGAGTTCTGCTCAGAAAAATCTTACTGAATTCTTCATGAGATCACTCTACTTTTAAAATCTGATTCTCTTAATATCTACTCTTCTCAAATCCCCAACTTTTCAGCAACAAATGTATATAGAAATGACAGAAATTGTTAATAATCTCACAGAGTTATAACAATCTCACAGTTGAGAAAGCTCAGTCAAATATTATTCTAATGACTTTATATAATATTTATCAAATAAACCTATTTTTTCTTCTGATTTTATTCAGTATCAGTGTGAGAATCTTGAATGCTTTTATAAATCAGAGTTGAATGATATATCTCACATTGAGAGAGTGCATTTTATTAAATATAATCACTGATATTTAGATATAAAGTCTCATATAATAGTTCTGAAAGTTTAAGAAGCTGTTTACTATACTTTACAGACTGTATAAAGATTATTATTCTTGAATTCATTATTTAGTCTCTTCAAAATAATTACAATGAAGAATGAGATGAAATATATCTCAATTATTCAAGTTCTTGATCAACTTGATATTTATATAAATACAGTATTTAAATCAGGTTCTGATCTGCTGATATATAAGAGTCAAGATCAGTATTTTCTTTATCAGATCATGAGAATTAAAACTGAAGTTATTAAGATATAATCATATTACAAATCTTCACTAATTCAGACTAAGTTGAAAATTACAGTACATGAACAAGATCTTTTAAAAAGTATATTTTATTCTAATATACAAGTTATTTCCCTGTCATATCAATTATTTATTCATGAATTTGATTTATATCAGAACATGTACTGAAGCTTGATAAGTTTTTATTTAATTTCTACACTAAGCACTGTTAAGTGCTCAAAGTGAAACAATATTTTTATTCTAATCTTTAATTCTCATAGTATCAATTTTTCTGACACAGTTACTGTATTGTCATATAACTTATCTATATTAAATTATAAGAGAATTATGATGAATATTGATAAAAAAAAGATAAGAGTAATTACATCTTATATTATATTTCTTAAAGATATATCACAGTAAAATAGTAATATAGAGATTAAAGAATCAACAGTAAGAAGATTATACTGAAGCTGCTTTATTAATAATAAGAATCAACTGAATCTGAACTATAATCTATATAATAACAGCTGATTTCACTATTATATATAATATCTTCAGACTAAACTGAATGATCTGCTGAATTTCATATACAGAGATTAAATATATCAAGAGTAAGAAATAACATCACAGACTGTATCTCTTTTTCAGATATATTCAAGTTTGAATTTGATCTCTTTTTTTCTATCTACTTCATATTATAGTGAGTTCACTGATATATCAGAGATTTTATGACTTATTACTGATTAGTACTGTCTTATCACTGTATAATTAACTAGAATACTTCTGAATATTACAGATATTCTCTTTTTCTCATAGTTAGAATTATCTACAGTCACTGATCACTCATCTCAAGAAGTATCAGCTTTAAGAATATACTTAAGCTTCAATCATTATATCTCTTATCTTGCAGTGTGAGCTCAGAGAGAAATAACTCAGTTCAGTAATTAAGTAGATTATTTCTGCAGTATTTTCAGCATCAAATCAATCATC